ACTCTTGCAGTGTGTTCCATGGCTTACACAGAAGAGCAAAGAACTGTGTGAAGTGAGCACTTGGGTGAATCTTCAGAGGATTTTATGAGGTGTTTTCTACTGATCCACCTAATGTGGATAAACAAGTAGAGAAACCATCCCAGTACAGAAGTGCATGCAGTGGACTAGTACCAGTATAATTATATTGCTTTCTTTTTAATCATATCACTATGTAAAGAAAGGGAAAGCAAAGGATACTAACTTATTGAAGTTAGACCTGGCTGCACTGGACCTGGAAACTAGTACAATTATGACTAACATATGGGCTTGTGGCTTTTTTTTTTTTAATTCTCAGTATTTGCACAGCTTTCTATTTGTATAGGCCTAAAGATAGTAAACTAGTACTCTCTAAGGTTCTCTCATACTGAGAGTTATACAAGAAGTATTAGACAAAATTAAAATGTACCTTGTGTTATCATTCTTTGATTTTAGGAGTTAATCCACTTTTCATTGTAGTTATTTCCTGCCATGCTCCTGCTAAAGAAAAGATAGTATCTTTATCAATTAGTTTTGCAGGATAATATGAACGGAAACTCAATTTAATCTTAATGCTTTGTAATTCTGTATGCAAGGATAATGCACATCATGATTCTTTGCTTAACAATATTTCTCCGTAATACCTAAGTTTTATTACTGGTCACAAATGTTCATATGTAAATAGTTAATTTTGACAACCTACTTAATTATCATGTTATTTTAAAAATCTCTTCCTATCTGTAAAGTTTTGGAAGGGTTTGTGGTCTGGAGCACTAGGATTTATCCTATTTTCACATTTAGACTGCTTGCAAAACTGTGAGGATCGTATAGATCATCTCTTCATATGACGTGCTACTCACATATTATCTTTGGGAAAAAAAAGGTAAGAACCATTTTTACTATGTACACCTGTAGCTTTCTCTGTGCAAGTATCCATTAGCTCAGTAAGTATGCTAATAACCTGTCTCAAGGAAGGGTTTTTGGATTTATTGTAACAATGCTCTTTACATGGTTACTTGCACCAGAGTAAGGTAGAAGTAAACAGTTACTCCTTCAATTTGATAGGCTTATCTAGATGATTTTTACAGTGCAAATGACTATTAAAAAAAGCAAGAGAAGAAACAGAAATCGAGGGCAGATGAGATCTGGCCCATAACGCCAACTTTCAGCTCGTTTAGCCTGTCTCTGCTCTTCAGTGCTCAAACTGGACATGACTCTAGAAATGCTGAAAATCAGCATTTGCTGCTTGAAAATATCAACCCGCGCATTTTCATTAGGAGTTTTCAGGGAGTTATAAAGCAAAACAAAGTTTGTAGATTTTCACTCTTAGAGACACTGCAGTGTTATCAGTCCCCGAGGAAAAAAGTTATCGCACAATATATAGCCCATGCAGGCAAAACCCCGTAGGCTACTACGACAGCTAAGGGCAAAGCCACGCGCGCCCGCATTCATGCGTCAGTAAATGCGATCCGACGGCTGCAACCAGGGAAGAAGAACGAGAAAACCGGGGCTGGGGTCGCGGGCCCCGCGGCGCCCCGAGCCCTGCTCGCCCCGTGCCTCAAGTTTCCGCGTCTGTAAAATGGGGC